ATATTCTTCAACTGATCGGGAGGTAATATAACATGATTGGCAGGTAATTTGATCTGTCTCTTCTCAAGCAAGAAATCAAAAAGTCTGTTTGCCTTTGTGACTTCAAAATCATAACTTTCTTCAACATCTTTTCCCCAAGGATTTTGAACCATTACTATCTTTTTACCCCAATTCTATTCAGCTACGACAATTTTCTCTTCTTCATCATCCTCATCATCATCGACTAAATATGGATTATAAGCTTCAGCGATTGCAGCATTCTTCTGAAATCGGATATCTCTGCGCATGTTTTGAAATTGGCTATTATGTGTTGCCACCCATTGAGCCAATTGATCTAAATTGTCAAATTCCTGTCCAAGCAGTTTTTCTCTCCATGTTGGCAACATTCCTTGAACGGCCAAAACAGCTAGCTGATCATCAGTCAAATTCAACGAAAAGCATAAATTTCTTGTTTCTCGTAACCTCTGAAGGAACTCAACACCTGATTCATTAGCTCTTTGCTTTATAGTTGTCAAATATATGATCTTTCTTTCTCCTATCCCAGTATAGAAATATGTATGAAGTTTCTTTTCAAGATCACTCCAATTGGCAATAGAATTAACCGCTAGTGATGAAAACCAAGTGAAAGCTGGTCCTGACAGGGTCAAAGAGAAGAAACGAACTCGATGCGCTTCTTCAATAGAGACTTCACCAAACTGAGTAAGATATCGACTGACATGTTCTATTGTACTTGTGCTATCTTGACCAGTAAATTTAGCAAATTCTGGAAGCCTGTAGTTCGTAGGAAGGGACACCAAATTATACCACTCTGGATATGGATGTTTGTATGAAAAGGTCCACCCTTTTGGTTTTAAACCGAACTGATTTTTCATCATTTCGGTTACTCTGAGCTACAATTCATCAGCATTTGAGTTTGGATTTCTTAGCAATTGCTGACCCATCTATGGATTGAAATTCTGAGTGCCTTGATACCCTGGATTTAGAATCATGTTGAGGGTATTATAATCTGAACCATAATGATATCCTTGTGTAATATCTATCTGTTGGGCCCCTTGCTGATTTGCTGCTTAAAATCTCTGATTGAAAATATTAGAATCTATATCTGTACGAATCCTTTGAACTGATGGTGCTATTTTTTGAGCCAACGGCGGTATTTGGCCTAATGTACCAAAATTAATCATCTGATTCTAAACTTGCCTTGTCAGCTATTGCACATGCTGCACTGATGATCTAGGATTATATTGCATTTGATTACTAGTAGCACCCTGAATCTGCTCAGATGAATTCTGAATTGCTTGGACATCATCACTCTTAGCCAGTGCTGCTTCTTGATGGTTAGTACTGGCTTGATTAGTTCCCTGAGTCGACAGATGTAGAATATTGTAATAAGCCGGTCCAACCTGATCAAGTGGAAATCCATAAAACACATCCTTCATGGTATTGTGGAATGTATTCAAGAAAGCTGTATTATGATTCAGCATTGCATCATCAACATATTTGTTGACAGCTTCTACAAAGAAACACCTATCATCAGCTTCGTCTATATCTGACTGTCCATGCATCAAAACTCTCGGCAATGAATATTTCTGAATAACTTTATTGTCACGTGTTTTGGTGTATGACAACAAGCACTTGTTCTAAAACTTCTCTATAGCCTTACCAATGACATCTTTATCCTCATTAGGTAAGTCTTCATAAGACACCATAAAAATGTCTTTGTTATTGTGAACCACCATGACGATTGTGGTCCCATCGGGCGTGCCAAAAAGTGTGTTGACACAAAAAATGTGACGATATGATCAACACATAGCAAGCTAGAAGATCTGAGCGGAATGAGACCAGAGATCTGCTTGGCTTCAACACGGAACCAGTCGATTCTGAAAACTGAATGGCGTGCCAGTCAATTTAGCTTGCAATTGACAAGGAGAAGAAATCTTATCAGTAATTTAAGGTGGAATATGTCAGTGTTGCTCCAGACAGTTCCAAATATGCGGCTAAGTAGCCACTTCAATAAGGCTATCGACTAAATAGTCGATATCCAGCGTATTCATAAAACGAAGATCTTTAGATTAAGGATGATCGACTAATGTTAAATGATGATAACGTAAATCAAAATAATCGATGCCTATGGATCATAGCATATTTGTGGTGACTGATTAATCAAGACAAAAACAAGTACAACACACCCAAATATAAAATTTATAAGATCCTTAAGATTCCAATATATACTACCAAATAGTCGATTGATGCAATCTTTGATTATAGAATTGGTAACCAATAAAGAAGCGATATAAGAAAACATCATCGGTTAAATGGAACATGATCGGTATAAAGCGTCGAGTCGATAAGTTAAATAAAAATAGTATAACATGCGAACAAATCGACTGTATAATATAAATGAATCTATAAACAGTCTGAATCTAATCTATTATTATCAACAGTGATGTTCTATCGGATCGATGCAGACATGATAATGATAACAAACTAAAGCCAAAGAATCTATAAAATTATCTATATGTTGACATATTCATAAAAAACATGCTATATGCGTGAGAGTATGGACAATCGGCTAAATAGCCGATGCAGTCATAGCAAACAAACAGAGTACATATCTTGATCATGAACAAAACCACTAATCAATAATTTCTAATCTAAAGTCTTACCACTGAGGTTCGACCAGATCAATGCAGCTATGGTAGTGTTATTAGATTAGATCTCATTAACTAGTGAGTTTATTCAAGATTGAAGCATGTCTTTGAATGCATACTATGTTTGATTGGAATAGAGATAAAACAGTCGATCTAGCGGAATTAGGCCATCAATTATAAGATTTAAAGCGTGACTAGATCAAAGAACGATCAATTAAGATGATATGATGCTGATCTATCTCTATCTCAATCGGGTGATTTGTTATAATTAATAAAATATTAATTAAAAATGAGAATTTGAGTTTGTAGCCATACTAGGCAATAGACCGAGCAATGAAAGAACAACGAAAATACAGTTGGTTGAAGACAGTAGTTCTAGTTCTTTTCATAAACGGTTTTATTGGAACTAGTAGCATTCTAGTAAGGGTCTGTTTGGATGTACCCAACTAAAGTTTAGCTAGCTAAAATTTTAAAGTAAAACTTTAGCCAGTTAAAAGTTTCCGAGCTAAACTTTAGCTGAGGTGTTTGGATGCTCCAGCTAATAGCTTTAGCTGAGTTGAAATAGCCAATCCCAGCTAAACTTTAGCTGGTCTTTTAGCTGGGCTGTTTGATGCCTAGCAGCTAAATTTAGTCAGCTAAAGTTTAGTTGGTGCATCCAAACAGGCCCTAAGTTGGAGATAACTGAGCAGCGCTATAGTTTTAGGTAGTGTTTGGATGTGAGGACGAGCCGGGACGGAATGGGACGGACTTGAGATGAGCGGTGTTTGGTTGGGAGGCCACCAGGAGCGAGGACGTCCCACATGGGAATATTCTCATGAGACGTGGGTTCCCTCGCCCCTAGAAATTTGACGGACGGGGTCGCCCCAGGTGGGATGAGCGGATCTTTTGCGAGGAAGAAAGAAGAGGAGGCGCGCCGGTCGCGGACGGGGTCGCGGGCGAGGGCTCAGGTCGCGGCCGCAGGCATGGCTCCAGTCGAGGGGGCGGTGGTGCGAGGGGCTGCGCACATGGGCAGTGACGCGAGCGGCGGCGGAGGCGCGAGGAGCCGCGCGCGGGTGGGGCGAGCGCAAGAGCTCAGCGGTTGCTGGTTGTGCACGCGGTTGCTTGAGCTCTACAAGGAAGATGCCTGGTTGGGAACCAAGCAAAAAGGAAGAGGAGGAAGTAAAAGAAAAAAACTAACAAATGGGTCCCACCTATCAGTAGCTGATTTCGCTTTTGTTGTCTCTGAACTAAACATAAAACGGATTGGTTCCATCTATCCTCAACCTAATAGAAAATGGGCTCGTCCCGTCCCATAAACCACATCTCATCTCACCTTGTCCCCAACCAAACGCTACAGTATGCCGTGCTCGTTTGGACCGAGAAGGCAGGGGAGAAAGGGCCGATGGCTCTATGTTTGTTTAGTGTATTGTGCCAGATGTACAATACATAAATTATTTTTTATTATCTTGTAGGCTGATTAAGGTTCGATATTGTTATTTTCCTGCTATGGACCACTCACATGATATTTAACCTACCTATAATAAATATTTACTTGGCTATGGGTTACTTTTTAATTAAATTGTGATCGCCCTAAGAGGCTAAGATAGTATATTTACGACCGGAGGGTTATTATATACCTTTGTCACTTTATACCTGATTCATCGGCTTACGATGAACAATACTCCCTCGGTTCAAAAAAAAATGCAATTTTAAATTTACGATGAGTCAAACTTTCTTAAGTTTAAATAAACTTATGAGAATAGTATTAATATAAAAATATATTTCATAACTAATTTGATAATATTTATTTGGTATCATTAATATTAGTAATTTTTCGTATAGATTTAGTCGTACTAAAACTTTTTGACTTATCGAGAACTGGGTCGTGCATTTTTTTTAAGGGAGGAAGTATTATAACCACGCATCACACCTCGAATCTGGAATCTCGACTGGAGGGAAAGCTCTGTCACGCTAGGATGGTTTTTCAAGTCGCCTCTCCAGGGCCTTGGTGGGCCGGCAAAAGAAAATGATATTTCATTTTGTATAGTCGCTGCTACGCCGTACCTGTGACCGGCCATACAAGGAACCACCGGTTAGTGGTTAGTCCCTTGCTTATAAGTGTGCGCAGATCCAGCCTTTGCAGCACATTGTTCATTGCATTGCTCACACACTGTCCACTGATCAGTCCACCAACCACTCTGGCTGATTTTGGCTGGCTGGTTGCTTTTTTTTTTTTAGCCGGAGCAGTGTTTTTCTCTCACAACATTCTAGCATAAACAGTATTTTTTAGTATGAACAGTATAAAGTTCAGTCCAGCCGAACACTCCCTCAGGCGGCCGGCCGAATCCATCTCTACCAGTACCGGAGGAGAAGATGGAGGCGGCTCTCGGAGGGGCGAACTGGCTCCTCGGCCAAGTCCTCAACAAGCTCTCCGACGACTTGGTGAAAGCCTACGTGTCCAGCTCCGAGCTCGGCCTCAACCTTGACAAGATCGAAAGGGAGATGCTCTACACTAGAGCGCTGCTGGGCGAGGTCCAGGGGAGGGACTTCACCAACAAACCCGGCCTGCAGGGGCTGCTCGAGAAGCTCGGCAAGAAGGCTGACGAGGCTGAGGATGCTCTGGACGAGCTCCACTACTTCATCATCCAGGACAAGCTGGACGGGACTCGAGATGCCACTCCAGACTTGGGCGGTGGCCTCGGCGCCAAAGCTCAGCATGCCCGCCATGCTGCTCGCCACACATCTGGTAACTGGCTCTCATGCTTCTCTTGTTGCCGTTCACAAGATGATGTTGCTGCTTCCATGTCTCTTGACCACGGTGGCTATGTTGAAAAGTTGCCATTCAACCGGGTGGAGATGTCCAACAAAATCAAGCAGCTCATACAGGAGCTGCACTCTAACTGTACTCCTGTCTCTGACTTGCTCAAGATAGTGTCAGGCAGTAAACCCCAGCCACACATGCCTGCCTTCACTAAAAGGCCCGACACAAGCTCTAAAATCACACAGAAGTTGTTTGGGAGGGATGCCATCTTTGAGAAAACTATAAATGAGATTATCAGTGTGACACAGAGTGATAAAATATTGTCCGTTCTTCCTATAGTTGGTCCAGGGGGCATTGGAAAGACTACCTTCACCCAGCACCTATACAATGATACAAGGATTGAACAACATTTCTTTGTTAGGGTCTGGGTATGTGTATCTACTAATTTTGATGTCCTCAAGCTCACCAAAGAGACCCTGAGCTGCCTAGATGCAACTGAAAATGCAGGAAATAAGATGGCAAATGAAACTACCAATTTAGACTTGCTTCAAAAATCCATCGGAGAGAGGTTGAAATCCAAAAGGTTTATCATTGTCATGGATGACATATGGGAATGCAGCAGTAACGATGAGTGGGAAAAACTATTAGCTCCATTCAAAAAGGACGGGTCCAGTGGCAACGTGATTCTTGTCACAACTCGGTTCCCAAAAATTGTAGAAATGGTGACAAAAGAAACTAATGCAGTTGACCTTCGTGGTTTGGATCCTAATGAGTTTTGGAAATTCTTCCAAATATGTGCATTTGGTAGAATCCAAGATGAGCATGGTGATCAAGAGTTAATTGATATTGCAAAACAAATAGCAGATAAGCCCACTTGCAGCCAAAACAGTTGGTCGGTTATTGATTAAGAAACCCTTTCAGGAACATTGGATGAAAATTCTTGACAACAAAGAGTGGCTAGAAGAAAACCATGACAATGATATTATCCCAGCCTTGAAAATTAGCCATGACTACCTTCCCTTCCATTTGAAAAAATGTTTTTCATGTTTTTCCCTTTTCCCCGACGATTATAAATTTGGAAAGCTTGAGATTATTCGTTTTTGGGATTCTATAGGCATCATAGATTACCCTAAGCAGAATAAAAAATTTGAGGACATAGGATCAGATTATCTGGATGAACTATTAGATAATGGTTTTCTTATAAAAGGAGATGATAATAATTATGTAATGCATGATTTACTCCATGATCTTTCACGTAAAGTTTCATTAGAAGAATGTGCCTATATCAGTTGTTCTACTTTTGAGGCAAATGAAATCCCACAATCTATTTGTTACCTATCCATTTTCATGCATGATGATATTCATGTTAAAAGTTTCGAGGAAGAGATGGGTAAATTGAAGGAAAGGATAGACATTAAAAATTTGCAAAGTTTGATGATTTTTGGAGAATACAGTAGGTTACACCTGGTCAATGTTTTAAGAGACACATTTAAGGAAATAAAAGGTCTCTGTGTTTTATCTATATTCGCGAACTCCCATAGTTCCTTGCCAAACAACTTTTCAAAGCTTATCCATCTTCGATACTTAAAACTTATGTCGCCTGTTTACGCAGAAGTGTGTTTGTCTAGCACAGTGTCTAGGTTTTATCACTTGAAATTCCTAGATCTTAACCAATGGAAAAGTAGTTATTCTTTGCCTAAAGACATTAGCCGCCTTGAAAATCTACGCCATTTTGTTGCTACGAAACAATTTCATTCCAATGTTCCTGAGGCGGGGAAAATGAAATTTTTATAAGAATTGAAATATTTCTATGTTAAGAACGAGAGCGTTGGATTTGAGCTAGGAGAGTTGGGGAAACTAGAAGTGCTTGGAGGAGAGCTCAAGATATCTGGACTTGAAAATGTGAGAACCAGCCAAGAAGCTGAAGAGGCCAAACTGATGGAAAAGAGGAATTTAGTGAAGTTGGGATTAGTTTGGAATAGGAACCAAGAGTCCACCGGAGATGATGTCCTTTTTTTAGAAAAGGCTGGAGATGATATCCTAGATAGTCTCAAGCCACACTCTAATATTAGAAGACTTTGCATTGTAAATCATGGTGGCTCTGTTGGTCCTAGTTGGTTGTGCAGCAACATCATATACATGAGAAACTTGGAGACCCTACATCTAGAGAGCGTATCATGGGCCAACCTTCCACCTATTGGGCAGATGTATCACTTAAGAAAGCTGAAGCTGAAAAACATTCTTGGGATATCTCAGATTGGACCTGATTTCTTTGGTGGTACTACAGAAAAAAGTTTCACGCACTTGATGGAAGTTCAGTTTTATGATATGCCAGACCTTGTAGAGTGGGTTGGGGGAGCTAACTGTCATCTGTTCTCAAGGCTTGAAAAAATCAGTTGCACTGATTGTCCCATGCTCACAACGCTGCTGATCTCAGGTTGGCCTATTTCTTCTACAGAAGGCAACACTAAATGGTTCCCTAGCCTTCGTGATCTTCACATTCTTAGATGCCCGAAGTTGTGCCTTCCTCCCATGCCTCACACTTTGATGGTATCCCGTATTTATACAGACTGCTTGTTTTATTATCGTACTAAGTTGGACATTAGGAATCCCTCTGAATTGGTTTTCCACAATCTTGGTGATGTAGAAAGGTTGACAATTCAGGATGCATCATGCTTCTCATTTATGGATCTTCAAAAGCTACATTCCCTAGGACATATAGAGGTCAGTAGATGTGAGGAAACCTTTTTGAGAGGACTGGATGATGGTGTTGTGCTCCACCAAGTCCAATCTCTCAAACTCGAACACTTTTCACTTACCAGAAAATCCTTGTCAAATTTGTTCGAATGTTTCCCAGCTCTTTCTAGTTTGGATGTCAGGGCATTATCAGATGAGGATCATGAGGAGGTGGTACTGCAGTTTCCACCCTCCAGCTCGCTGAGAAATGTCCGCTTCGTTGGGTGTAAGAATCTCATCCTGCCTGTGGATGAAGAGGAAGGAGTTGGGTTCTGTGGCATCTCGTCGCTTGAGTCCGTGGCCATAATAAATTGTAACAAGCTATTCTCTCGGTGGCCCATGGGAGGAGGAGGAGGAGCTCAGACTCAGAGCATCATCTACCCTCTCCCCCCTTCCCTCAAGGAACTGTCTTGTGGGTGAGCAAAGCACGCTGCCGATGGCTCTGTTCGCGAATCTCACATCTATTACCAGTCTACGACTAGTTAATTGCATGGATATCACAGTGGATGGGTTTGTTTCTCTCATCGCAATCAACCTCGAGCGTTTGACGGTGCACAATTGGAGAGATGGTGAGGCTGAGCCATACTCTGTAGCAGGAGATCTACTTGCAGCGGTGGCAAGCACCAAAACATTGCCCGCCGGTTCCTTCCAACTGGTGAGCCTTTATGTGGACAGCATCTCTGCAGTGCTTGTTGCTCCCATCTGCAGCCGCCTCTCCGCTACCCTCCAGAGGTTATACTTCGATTGTGATTGGTGGACAGAGAAGTTCACGGAAGAGCAGGACGAGGCGCTTCGGCTCCTCACGTCTCTCCAAGGCCTGTGGTTCAACAACTGCAGGGCTCTGCAGTCCCTCCCACAAGGGTTGCATCGCCTTCCTTCTCTCCAGGAATTAAGTATCGGGGGGACTCAAAAAATCAGATCGGTGCCCAAGGAGGGCCTCCCCGATTCACTGCGATTGCTATACATAGAAAATTGCAGTCCCGAGATTTATGAGGAATGCCAGAAATTAAGGGGAACGAGGCCAGATATACATACTTTTGCCTTCATTCGTGACGCGGAAAGCTGAATCTCTGCTTCTGCATGCCTTTCACGCACTCTAACTCTTCCTTGTACATCGATTTGCAGGTTAGTTCCTAATAAAAAAACAGCTTATGCTTCTCAATTTATGGTTTCATTGACTGTGCAAACTGAACTTTTTTTTTAAATTGCATATAGATATGACCCATTGTCATATGCTTCTGTGTTACGATTGGAGCCACCATTCACGATTCATGTTCAACTATTTATTTCTTTATCCAACAAATTCAATCTCTCCTACAAATTCAATTTCTGGATCATGTCACTTTCTAGCATTTTTCTGAATATTGCATTATTGCACTGAATCTCGTACCGAGCCTCTCCAACAAATATTTTTTTTTAGATGAAGGAAGTTTTATTAAAATAAAGTTCTGGCCTCTGTGTAACAAGGTATATATTACACACAACTATTACAATATAAGAAGAAAGAAAGAAAGAAGAATGAGACCCAGGATGCTCTAAGCTGTGTATCAACCTACAATCCAACTATTTACAAATAACTTGACACGGGCAACTGGTCTATTGACCTGTATTCTATTGTACCATGAAGTGATATAGACAAAGCCTCTAAAACACCATCGTCGTCTTACAAAACAAGGTGATGAACGGTACATCTAAGCATCTTATATGTCTCCAAAGTTTGCCTGTTCTTCGCCAACCGGTCATTTAGTAACATGAGTCAAGGAAGCAGCCGGAAACATGGAACATGGCCATGTTCCTCGTTCCGAGAATGTCGTTCTGGGAACGTGGATGTTCCCAACTCGGGAACATTTACGTTCCCACGTTATAAAATATCATCCAAAGTTCCCGTTCCCATTCCACGTCCCCGTTCCCTCGTGGGAACATGGCTTCTAAGAACGTGACCACATAGCAATAAAAGTGACCGAAACAACTGAATAGATGACCGTCATATGATTCTTCTTTCCACAAAGCATCATCAAACTAGAACCTCCCTTCTCCTAAAATACACGCTGGTCAGCTGCACAGCCAAAGAGGAAGACAAGACCTCCGCCATGTCTGTAAGCCGCCGTAGGTCAATAGCAGGGCTTAAATGAGGCTACACCCGCTAAACTATACATTGATGTGAACACATGGTGGAGATATGCCCATGTGTGTGTGATGAATGAATGGCACATGAGTTGAGAGGTCTGAGGCTTACCGGTTGAGTCATATTTCAAATGTGCTTGATTATGCTAATGGCTAATGGGATGTGTCATGTTGAGTTGTGCCGTGTGTGTTGTGCAGCATGTCTCTTAGCTTGTGATTGTGCAGGTGTTGGGTGTGCTAAAAATGGTTGACGACAATGGAAAGGTCAGATGCGGAGTCTAGGCGTGATGGACCGAGAGCAGTGAAGGGCAGATGAGAAGGCTTGGACCAAGGGACCAAAGGGTGGAGGAGACGTGACCTGCAGGCGGATGCGCCCAAGCGGCACGGCTTGCTTGCCCGGGATAACCCCGTAGAATGGCGCTTTGCTCGGGAGGAGGCTGCTCCGGGGTATCTTTATCTTGTCGAGGGTCTCGGCGTAGAGGATGTTGAGGCAGCTGCCGCCATTCATGAGCACCTTGGACAGGCGTGTGGTGCCCACAATCGGGCTGACCACGAGCGGGTAGCTCCCGGCCCCTGGGTGAGGGACGTGGTCGGGATGGTCGTCCCGATCGAAGGTGATGGCCATTTCCGACCATCGAAGCCATGTCTGGGCGACAATGGTGTCGACGACATTCACCTCTTGCTCGTAGGCTTGGGAGCCTCTGAGGATCATCAGGCACTGCTCGGCCTCGAGGAACTTGATTTCCTCCTCTTGTCCGTCGTCGGTCTCCACGTCGACCTTGTGGGCAGGCTTCTATCCTTGCCCTTTAGGTCAAGGGTTCCTCGAATGTAGCTCCTCATCATCCCGCGGTCTTTGAGGAGGGCCTGGCCTACCCGCCGTGGAACTAGCAGGGCCCCTCAAGCACCATCTTGAAGTGCTCGAGGCGTGGGCCCCCCTGGGCAGGGGTCGGGTGGCGCGGTCAGCCAGGCCACCATCTCCTCCTCACGACGCTTCTTGTCCATCTTATCGCGATGGCGACCAGCCACGTTGGCCTCATCGTTGCTGTTCCCACTGCTGTGGTGGGTGTTGGCCTTGCCTCTGCCGCTGAAGTTGGCTAAGACAACCTCTTCTCATGTGGCGTACTTGGTGGTGACGTCCAGTAGCTCCCATGTCGTTCGCTGGGCCTCACGCCCGAGCGCATGGATGAGCGCCTCGCAGGTGGTGCCACAGGTGAAGGTATTGATGACGGCCGCGTTCGTGACATTGGGGAGTTCGTTGTGCTTCTTGGAGAAGCGCTGAATGTACTCCTAGAGGGTCTCGCCCAACCTCCGCCTGCAATTGCGTAAATCCCAAGAGTTACCAGGTTGAGTGTAGGTACCTTGGAAGTGCCCGATGAAGGTCGAGCGGAGGTCGGCCCAGCTCCAAACTCGAGCCATGCCCTCGCTAAGCTTGACAGGAGCAGGGGCAGGTACTGGACCACGAAGTCATCATCCGACCCCCCAGCCCTCATCACGAACCGGTAGTCCTCGAGCCAGTGGTTGTGGTTATTCTCCCCGTCATACTCGCCGATGTGGGTTGGCGGTCAGAAGGGGTAGGAAGCCGTTTTGGCCCTGAACGCCTGGGGACCGAATCAGTCTTGGCTCAGGCTCCCCTCCCATCGGCCGAGGCTTGGCGACTTGGGAAGATAACCTTTTTGTTGAAAAGAAAATAAAGACAAGCTAAAATTATGAGGTTGTTGCTTCTTGATTGATTTCTTTCTATTCTTGCTATGATTTTTAAATATATAGGCATCTCTGCCACTTATTTGTCCCTGCTTTCACGCATGAGTTCATGGTTGAGTATATCCATGCTCCTTGCTTTATATCCTCTAAGAGGTTGTTTGTCATTAACCATATTTGTTTTTGTTATCTATTGACGGTTTCTTTGTTAAAGGAGTATCCAACAACTTTCTGGTAAGATATTACTTGTACTGCTGGATATTACTTTCAGGTACTTGTAGATATTACTTATGCACTATAGATGACAACTCACATGATAAAGTGGGTGAGAGTATGTTACTACCTGGATTCGTGCTATGGACCGGCGAGGTGCATGTTTTTTTTGTGGTCTCAGAGAGGTGCATGCTGAATACATGGTTTGAGGTGAAGCCGATTTTTCGTGCAAGCTATAAACACTCCTTAAAGTATCTTTTTCTTACTCGAAACTGCCAGAATGGATGTCTGTTTGTGGTGTAAAGGTACACTTTTCTGTCATTGGAGATGGCCATTAAAGAAAAACAATACTCAACGTTTGCTGGCTTCCTTAAAATAATGTTCTTCATAAATCTGAAGTCAAAAAAACTTCACTCGGGCGCAACAAGGAAATATATAGAGAAATGGTTTCAATCAAGAAAAGACATACATTATTTAACTTCCCTTACATATATAGAGATAAGCCTGGTACAAAACACTTGTCCCTACATCTCTATTCTTGCTTCCCATCACCACAATCCTTCTAGCTAGTTATGCCTCCTTGCTGGTACTTTCACAGGAGATGATGTCATCAACAAGATATGATTCGGGATCAAATCCCTCAAGTTCTGGCTTATCACAAGGAACAGGAACAATACCAACAGTGGAGGTAGTGTCTGGCAAAGGTGATCGGTCTTCATCCATCATGACGTCCTCCCAAAACTCCATCAGTAGGGAATCGTCAGCCATATCAGTTTCACCCCAATTGATATGTCCGTTATTCCTCCCATTCAGATTTGTAGTAGAAACGACTTCTGTGTCTAACCTTCCACGCATAACATTTAGATGATGGGCAACAATACTATTGCTTATTTCTGGTTGTCCTTGCAGTTCTCCATCGTTAACACTGATAGTAGCTTTGGGATCAATGCCATCGTTGGCATTGGCAATATGAGAAGCATGTGTGGTATTTCCAGTATGCGCAACCAACAGTTTTGTATGATTCAACTCAGTGATTCCAGTAGAAATAGGGCCATTACTATTAGCAACTAGTGGAATAGATGATAATTCCCATGCAACAGGAGGAACAAAAGGGTAATGGAATGTCACATCTCCATCTTGAGAGACAACATTATTTTTGCTAGCACTTTCAACATAATATGTATCCATCGAAGGAGTTGTGCTCATGTAGCCTTCATTTGCGATATTAGGCAAATGATGTATTGGTCCACCCAGAACTGGTGTCTGTGTGACTGTGGTTGCCATCAAGGGGCATGCTTCTTGTGGTAGGAACCGCAAGGGTAGGGGCACATGGTAATCATTTGTTGGTGGCAAAGGAGGAAGAGCAAAGGGGGGATACCTTGCAGACTGAGAAATAAATTGTGGCATTGGGTACTTATGAGAACGACGATGACCGGATGTCTGTGGTTGATCTGTCAACCTATTGTGATTACGCTTCTTAATAGACTTTGGATGATGGGCTGAGTTGTGTTCTCCCTGATGTTTGCATAGAACATCATTCAGAAAATCATATGACTCCATGGAGGCAATAGCTTCAGCAATATCAGAGTCTAGTATGATATCCCGATGGTGGGAATTGGCACACATCCAAGAGCGAAGTGAAAGTTCCTGCACAAATATCTCACATGCCTTTGTGACGAAGGATGGCGTGTCGAATGTCATCATCATTTTACCCTTCTCGGCACATAGGACCTTTTTTAGACAGGTCATGGGAATCACACGCTTGCTGAAGTCCTCAATTGCCTCAATTTCATCTTGTTTCTTCCTACAAAATTCGTCTATCGTTTGTTGCTCAGATGATGGCATGGACATCCTTTGTGGTGTAGAAATGTTACCATCAGGATGGTCCATTTCTTTCTTATGTGGCCGTGATAGATGCACCTAGATATGAAACAATTATATAGTTATTTCTTACAATTGATGTTGTAATGCAGAAATTACTATTAATTTAACAAACAACTTCTATTATTCTTCTGTAAATGAAAAAATGAG